CCGGGTTGCAAAAGTTTCGCAAGGATGTCAAATATAAACAACATCTAGCTTCCGTAACCCAGCATTCTTGTGAACTTGTAATGTTGCACTTAAGGACCGCATTCGAGCTGGCATTGAAAGTCGTGTGGAGGTGATTGAGCGAATCGTTCGCGCTTCCTTACATGCTCGTGATTCCCGGTGGTCGCTGGATGAACGTCGCGAAAATGTGCGGCGATCGTTGGCCGATCCTCAGCGACTACATGTGGTTTACGATCAGGCGATAATGGTGAGAATTAGATAGCATCAGCTAAGATTTAAAGTAAATACGCATATCTTTCGTAAATTCAGGAAGACTACGAAATTTCGGGAAAACCAAATTGCATTCTGGAGCCAAGAAGACCACCAGAGCCACCAACTGATAGGAATAAGGCCAGAGATATCTGCCAAGTGTTACCTTTCGGTTCGTTGATGGTTTATCGATTTTGCGTTACTTTAAGGTGTTTCCTTTCTTGAGATGATAAGCTGTTCAGAAAATGGTTGCCATTTGTGGTTTATGCTCGCTGAGCACGCGACGACCTTACAAATATTCCATATGCATCCAGGACAGAGTCTTGCGGATGAGCTTGAGCACATGGTAATGTTTGTTTCGCTAAGTACTTGTTTTCATGGCGTCACTTTATTTAAAGATTTGTCCTAGCTCATTTCCGATATCTTCAGCTCCCATGTAGCACTGTAGTTTTCCATATTATTCGTAGTTTGAGGCTCTCCCAAAGTGGGAAAGCTCCATTAGACTGATCTCTACATAGGCGTCGGTCTCCAAGTTAAACTTGAAAGTCAACTAAAGAGTGGTCGATTCCGCGCCGTGATCTCTACGTTCCAGGCTCCCTTGATAGAAGTCAAGGCGAAGTCTTGAAGGGGAAGACGTAAAGTTTCCCCATCTTGGAAAGCTCAAGATATAGATATAAGATGTAGATATATAGTATGATTTCCACTATCAAAAGGTTGTCAAGGTCGAATATGGGCAATCTTGTAGTTTTTTTTGAATTGCTGTTCTTCAGCGAATCGATTCCGAGCCCGTTGGTTTCGCTGGTCGTCAAGTTTCTTGTCGTGATGACAAGGTAGCAGTGGCTGGACCTAGCGATATTCTAACTCTTCGTATGAGCAAGGATGGGGAGATCATTGACCGCATGGTCATCAAGCTCACCGAACTCACAACGACCCACAGCAACCCAATAGTAAAGGTGAGAAGTTGTTTTCAGAAATTTCTGTTCCTTTTTTTGTCACTTGAGACATTCCATGACCCTTGACTTATTAATTTCTGTGAAGGTATTATGGGCACCAAATCGCCCAGCGCTCTTGGCAGTGGCTACCGTTCAACTTGTACGGATATATGATCTTGCTCTCGATGCTGATAATTTTGTTGAGGAGTTGGTACTTCCAGTAGGTAAGCTTTAAGCATTGTGAACACTTTTTGGAGTGTGACAAGTTAGGGAGCACATCACGCGAGTGTTTGCGTAAATTGTCTTGTAGAACATGTGTCGACAACTACTTGAACCCGATCCTCCAAAGCGCCTCAATCCGATGCTCTCTTCTGAGCTCTTTCGCCTAATCAGCAATCATGACCATTGTGATCTCACACATTCAAACTTTTGCCACATTGAGTTGGCTCACCCACCGCGGAGTCCCCCTCTACAAGCTTAGCTCTAGGGTTTCCCTTCCTCTCCAATCGAGTTGGAGCCGTGAGCTTGCACGCGTTCCTCTAATCATGCTATGCTTCCCGCCATCCGGCAGGACCTATAACTAGAAAGTTCAAGTAATGCGGATTTCTTTGGCGTCTGTTTTATCAGAGAAAACTTTCAAATTCTTATGGAATTAACTTGAGACCTAGGTAGAATTGATAGAGCTGGTATGCGATTATAAGCTGTGACACTAGAGTTACAAAGTAGGTCAGATGTCTCAAGCAAGTTGTGAGCAATCTAAATTCATCCAGTGGAGCATTAGTATTCGACTGCTCACACTTTTTTTTTGCAAATTCAGTTCCTATATTCGTGATCAGCATTCAAACTGTCGGTTTAAAAAGGTCTCCCTTCGGAAATTTGCATTTGGAACCTTTTTAGGTACGTTGCAGTCTTCCTGCCACAGATCAAGTAACCGCAAAATGGAAGCACTGATCACTCATTTTCTCGAAAGCAGCAAAGACTAACCAGGAAAGGTCTTTCCAGGTGTTCCAGCTTTTTGAAAACGGTCTCTTGCATGATATAGGAGCACATGCGGAAACCACAGAACCGCGGTTCATTTTGACAAATTTTTGCATTTCGAGTTGATGTTCCAAAACTTGCGCAAAATGGTAAGCATGAATAATTAGTACCATATTCATGATTAGGACCGTCAGTAACTCCCTACAAAAAGACTCTTGACTCGAAAATTGGTTGTAAGAGGTGTGACACCAAGCAGCCCCACTGTGGTGTCACACCTTTTTCACCAGTTTTTTAATCAAAGTCTATTATGTCATTGTAGAGTTACTGACGTAAGTCCTGTAAGGGTTACTGACGGTCTATGAATATGAATATGAATAATCATGAATATGGTACTAATTATTCATGCTAACTCCATTTTGCGCGAATTTTGGAACGTCAACTCGAAATGCAAAAATTTGTCACCACGAGGAATCGAACTAGGGACCCCCTTTTCTGGTATTCAGAGGGCCGTTCAGGAAAAATGAACCATGGTTCTGTGGTTTCAAAAAGTCTTGGCACGGCCGAAAAGACTTCCTAGTCAACCTAAGTCCAAACCCAAGCCTAACTTAGCTTTAATGATCATTACTGGCTCTGTGACCTGATCTCAGTAGGAGAACTGAACGTCCCCCATTTTAGTAGGCTGCCTTTGGCATGTATTTTTTGCTTTCAGTAGAGAGTAAGTCTCTGTTTTCAGGCAATGTGGAGGACATAGAACTGATCCATAGTTATGAAGCTGACGAAATGTGGCTGATGGTGTTGAGCACATCAGGGCATTTGTATGAACACAGGGTATCAATTTATTTCTGCTGAATCGTTTTATTACTTTTTAGATGATCTATTGTGAAATTAAATGAGCTTGTTCTAGCTAACTGCAAGAAATGCGGATAACACATCGTTCTTCTTGACGAATACCGTTACACTTCCACAAACGCAACAGATTTTGGGAGCTGGAGTGTATGTTGTTTCGATACCTCCTAAGATTAGTTTATTATTCGGCTCAGAAATGGAATTTCAGATCGGTACATTATTCATCTGTCTCTGAACTTCTGTTTCTTTCACTGGAAAAAGGCACCTGGTTTGCTCCACTAGAAAAAGGAGATCTCGGAAGAGAAGATCTGGCTTTGAACTGGACAAGGTATCCATCTTTGAGAAAGCTTCTCTAAAGGAATGAAAGACATGTCGAGAGGCTTCAGATTGGAAATGACGACTCCTGTCCACTGCTGGCAGGAATCAAGTGGTGTAATGGCATGCTTTTCATATCCTATCGCATCATCGCTGGTGTTCATCTACCCTACGCTGGAGCAGATTCTCATTCAGGTGTGGTCTCAAATGCTGTGCACCACAAACAGGCCTTGAATGTCATATTTGTGCTCATGTCTCCTCAACTCTCTTTCAAATGCTACCATCGTTTCGTTATAGAGAGTGCAACTGAAACGATCAGCATTTACACATGCTCTTTTCACTGGATCATCTGCAGATACGATCTACTCGATGCCGCTTTTCTATGATTCCCCGACAAATTTGGTCTACTCGGCGTTAGTTATACTATTTTTTTCCGTAGTATTACCATTAACCAGCTCTCTAGATAGATTCCGTTAAGCTTCCCTTCTTTTGTGGCTCTGTAGAAGTTGCTCATGAGGCTAACATCACGTCGCATCGGAATAGTTTACAGGAGATGGTCTACCCTACCCGATCTATGGATAGAGAATATGCCAAGTGAGATGTGTGCTCAAGCAGAAAAGGAGAAGGAAGAACCGGAGGCCGAATTGCAAGATAGCGACTTAGTAACGGTACTGATCCCATGGTGTGTATTGTTCTAGTTCTTGACGTTTTTCTTGCAGTTGTTCGAACGTTGTGAACCCGTTGATCGAGTTGAGGTGTCCTGCCCTGATTTGGCCATTTTCTATGATGTTCATGATCTCAATGTACGGCTCAGCTCAGTTGGATCAATGCCCGTCACGGCAATACAGGTGCTGTTTATCTTGAGTCAGTTATTCCAACCTCACGACAATGTTTTTTTTTTCAGAAAGAGCAATTTGCTCTAACTATGCGTGTTGGGGACCCGAATATAATAGTTCGCGCTGTTCGGGTTGAATTACCGGCTGAACGAGGTCGAGGGCCATCCGAAGTCAGTTGAAAAAATAAGTCCGGATTTTATTTACAAGCGCATGTTTGATAGTTTTTAAGGTTTCTATTGGCGATAAGACGTATCCTCTAACAATGACGACCGACCTGGCACGATTTTTCGACATTCGATTTACTCGGACGCAATCGCTGGAACTGTATGTGTTTACTTTTTTTGCAGTGTTGTTAGATTCATTGCAACCACTAGCACCGTTGTTTTTTATTAGGTTCAATTTTTAGGGATCATAGAAACATCACTTTGACGTTTTCTGGAAGATCTCGATCACAAGTAGGGATGACTGTAGTTTCTGTACGGCTATACGGCATGTCCAAGCGAGAGTTTGGATCTCCTCGTTCACATTTAATTGCAAGGATGCCTTTATCGCTGCCGGACAAGTTCATATTGAACGTGATTCGAATGCTGACTACGTTGAACACGAGAAATCTGATTGTAAAGGTGAGCGATTTCTTGTTGCTACTCATATTCTTCATATGCATGTTCGCTGAGAGATGAGGGCGAGATTGTGCGATTTTTTGCATCGCGTCAAGCTTAATTTTGTTCTATTAGCTGTGCTCGATAATAGTGTCCGCTTTTTAGAATAGCAAATAAAAAAATCTGTATAGCTATGCTTACAACGTGTTATACAGGGGGGGGGCAAAAAAAAAGACATTTTGCCTATGTCGGACTTCGGCTCTTTTTTCTTCGCAGAGATTGCTGTCGTTGACGGGAGTTCCTCAGCAGAGTATTCCCTAAGTGTTCCTCTATTAGTGTACGCAGGCTCTCCTTCACTGCCCTCACCGTCTTCAGAATATGACGTCATCTGTCACCGTCGTCAGGCTCAAGGAGGTCTACCGTAAGAGCTTCAGCCTGAAGCTCTTACGCAATTTCGTGAATCGATTTAATGTTGGATAGTTTTCTAGAGGCATTAGCTACCACTGTGCAAATCCCCTCGGAACTAGCTTTCCAGTAAGGGTCGTTATGGTACACGATCCTTCGAAGACCCCATTGAGATCGACCAGTGCACCATGTTTCCAGGGCTAATTCTTCTGATGCCGTCCACGTACGTGGCCACTATGAAGATTTTCTTATAGAATGGAATGCACTCTTTAATAATAAGTTGGAACCGTTCGGTCTGAGTTGAGTAAAATGTGCTTAAATCCATCTGGAAGTGGAGGCAAAATGTCTTTTTTTTTTTGGCCCCCCCCCTGTATAACATTCGAAAGAGAATTGTCTGCTCTACAAGATGTTATGTTCCCATCTATGTTCCAGGTTTTCAAATTTTAGGCCTGCGAAATGGGAGGTCCCGCCGACAAAAATTGACCAAACCGACAACTATCTCTAACTTTATCTTCCCTTGAGAGAAATCAATCAATGATGTACCCTCTACTTACACATGACCTCTTCTTAACATTCGACTATTAGGTTCCCTAAGAAGTCGCGTCGCTCCTTTTCCAGACCTGGTTTTTCAACCAGAACTCGACGGTCGAGCACCATTAGCTGAGATCTAGGTCAAAATTTTTTTATAGCCGAGACATTGAAAAACTAGTAGAATTTAAAGAACAAGTCATGACTAAGTTTAGGAATGTACGCCTGGTTGATTTTCTCATCTTCTCAGGAATAATTTTTTTCAAAGAAATGCGGTCACTTTCGCGGATAAAACACCTTATTCCTAAACACCTAAAATTCGAACTAATTCCCAACAAACAAAAACAAAATCAGCGATGAGAGCAGAAGAAGTGCTCACAAAAGGAACACCACTTGATATGAAACAATGGCGTTTACGAGGAACAATTTTAATTTGAAAATTGCTATGGCTTATCGGTCAGCCAATTCGAAAAGAAACACGGCAAAGCTTTTTCGGCAACCTAAGAGTGGAATGTTTAGAAGAGGTCATGTAAGTAGAAGGTACATCATTGATTGATTTCTCCCCAGGGAAAATAAAGTTAGAGCTAGTTGTCGGTTTGGTCAATTTTTGTCGGCTGGACCTCCCATTTCGCAGACCTAAAATTTGAAAACCCTGGAACAGAGGTGGAAGAGGAACATAGCATCTTGTAGAGCAGACGATTCTCTTTCGAATGGTATATAATATGTGTGAAAGCCAAGGATTTAGAGAAAACTTTTTGTTGAAAAAAAGCGACACTACTTATGAGACAACCTAATACATAGAAGTACTTCTTGAGTATAAAGCTTAATGCTTGTTCGATTCGGGTGAGAATCCTAAAGCGACCTCTTGCCCTCGATGCTCGCTACTCAGGCATAGGTCTGCGTTTTCAAAGACCAATGCGATGGATGGTGAAAACAGCATGTCGTTTGATCAGTCCTCGCTTATGCCATCGAGAACTTGTCGAGGCGGCCAATCGACTGCTCAGAGTGCTTCTAGTGGATAGTGCTCATGATTACTACGCACGGAAGGATATGGTCATCATGGCCGGTTTGTTTTTAGTATTATTCTTTTATTATTTCTCTTGTTATACACTCGGCCAATGTGACATATGTTCCGCTTATTTGTGCCCCACCCCCACTCTGACTAGGATTTTCTGTCTGGCTTTCATTTAGGTATTTACGAATATTCTAATGATGTCCGATTTCGAGAGCCTTGAATTAGAATTGGCAGTGTTTTTGCTTATTCGAATTGTTCAGTTCATTCCTGTTACAGACGATTTGGCGGTATTTTCTCGAGGTAAAGTGCCGATACCTAGCGACTTGATGGCAGATTTTGCACTTCAGCTTAAGTATATGATGTGTACACGTTGGAAGCAATTTTGGAGCATTGTGAAACGAAGTGAGTTCGAAAAATCCATTCAATTTCACATGTATATTGGGTTGTTTCTTGCATCACAGACCAGAACACGCCGTGCAGTATCACACCTTAGTACTTAGTTGTTCAGATTTCGTGACTGTTAGGGTTACCTGAGGCTACACAGTGTCTCTAAGCCCAGCAAAGAAAAACCTGATAAATTTGATAAAACTGGACTGTAGATCACAAATCGGTCAAGTGTTTTTGTAGAGTTTGGAAGCTCCGTGGCTATAATGTCGTTCCTACGTCGTGAGGTTGCTGCTGCTGCAACAATGGGTGCACCTTTTGGCGCTTCGGATCCACTGCCAGCTTTAGAGCTGTACACTGTTCTATTGTTCATCCTCTTGTCCGTCAATGATACACATGGGAAGCAGCTTACGGATGAATATCTCAGTTTGTACACTGACCCTAAGGTGAGGATTTTTGTTCGGATAGGATATGAGGAGGATGTCTTTATTTTTCAATATTTTTTTAGTTTGTGTAAAGATTTTATTTTCGGAGAATCGTAAACACGAAACGGTGACTGATTAACCACCTCACCGTTAACCACGATCTATCTCGATCAAGAAATGCTTTCTTTTTCGCGTTTGGCAATATGCAGTACCCAGAAAAGAGTTAACTTGATTGGGTTTGCTGATGAAGTAAACAACTAGAACCATGTCCATGAGCGTGAGTGGTGTAGTGGCAAGTAGCCTTGCTTATTATTCACATGATTAGAGGGTCTACTTGGGTTTATCTGACTCTCACTAGGTCAACCAATCCTTCATTTCCCATCGAGATCTATGATAGCTTCGGACTCGTATGGAGAGGTAAAACTGTGTTGAATTGCACCAGCTTAAAGGTTTGTATTTTCAGACTTCACATATAGCTCATCGTGTACGACTTGTCGGCCAAACGCTCATCTATTCGTTCGCGTTGACTACGAGAAACGACCGATCTCAAGCCCGCTCTATGAATCCATCAGCGAAAGTTATGCGCTGGGGAGGCTTGAGGCCGTTTTTCAATCGCACAAAGATTTTGAGGTTGGCTGAATAACATAGTGAATTTCTTTGCTCTTTTTCGGGCT